CCACCTCTACTCAGCTCTTGTGAGGACCCATCTGGAGTACTGCATCCAGGCCTAGGGCCCTCAGTACAGGAAGGATGTAGAACTCTTGAAGCGTGTCCTCCAGAGGAGGACCACTAAGATGATCAGAGGGCTGAAGTACCTTTCCTGTGAAGAAAGGTTGAGAGAACTAGACTTGTTTAGCTTGGAAAAGAGAAAGCTCTGGGGAGACCTCATTGTGGCCTTCCAATACTTGACGGGAGCATATAAGCAGGAGGGGGAATGACTGTTTACAGGGGTGAATAGTGCTAGGACAAGGACTGTGGTTCTTTTCAACCCAGGCCATTCTATGATTCATGGCCAAAGAGAATCCCTTGTTTCACAGTGCAAATGAGAAACTAGAGTTATGAGTCAAAAACAATGAGCGTCTTTAATGATCCCACAAAATATAAACAGAAGTTAAAGTCAGGCTTGTGAAAATGCTCCTAAGAGTGACTAATATGTTTGTAATATCTACCTCCTACAAAATAGAAAACATGTTTAAATGCTATTGACTTGTGCTACGTCTGATTCTGAGGCTGTCTTGAAATCATAGCTGCAAAGCAGGAAGGGTGGAAAAAAAATTTCAGAGAAGCCTGTTTTGTTTTGGATAGCAACACGAGCACTTGGAAACACAAATCTGACTGATAGAACCTCTAATCCTTAGGGAATTCATGTTACTCTGCCATGGGCATAATATATAGAGACCTAGGCCCAGCATACTATTATAGACAACACAGCGGGAAAACATCTGTGTGGAACCTGAAATTAATACAGTTACACGAGTATCTTTCTAAACTTCAGTTCAGAATCTCTCCTGCTATGAAAACAGAGACACTTCTGTATAACGGTATTTCAAAGGCACAACTAGGTAACAGTAATTTTTGTGATTCTCTTGACTGTACTGTTTCAGAAACACAGATATGCTCATGACTTCTATCATACAAAATGGCCACGGCTGGAAGGGACCTCAAGGATCATGAATCTCCAACTCCCCTGCCACATGCAGGGCCACCAATGTCCCCATTTAATCCTAGAACAGCCTGCCCAGGTCCCATCCAATCTGGCCTTGAACAGCTCCAGGGACAGGGCATCCACCACCTCTCTGAGCAGCCTGTTCCAGCACCTCACCACTCTTGTAGTGAAGACTTTCCCCCTGACATCCAACCTAAATCTTCCCTCGCTCAACTTAAAACCATTTCCCCTTGTCCTGCAGTTAACTACCCTTTCAAAGAGTTGATTCCCCTGCCTGTTTGTAGGCTCCCTTTAGGTACTGAAAGGCTGCAATGAGGTCACCCTGCCACCTTCTTTTCTCCAGGCTCAACAAGCCCAGCTCCCTCAGTCTGTCTTTGTAGGGGAGGTGCTCCAGTCCCCTGATCAATTTCATGGCTCTCCTCTGGAGCCTCTCCAACTTCTCTGTCTTTCTCATACTGGGGGCTTCAGACCTGGACACAGTACTCTAGGTAGGGATTCACAAGAGCAGAGTAAAGGGGGGACAATCACCTCCCTGTCCCTGCTGGCCACCCCTCTTCTGATGGAGCCCAGTATACTATTTGCTTTCCAAGCTGCAAGAGCACACTGCTGGCTCAGGTTAAGCTTTTCATTCATCAAGACCCCCAGGTCCTTCTCTGCAGGGGTGCTCTCAAGGACTGCTCCTTCCAGTCTGTATAGATGCCTGGGATTCCTCCCACCCAATTACAAAACCTTGCACTTTGCTGTGTTGAACTTCATCAGGTTCACCCAGGCCCACCTTTCAAGCCTATTGAAGTCCCTCTGAATGGCAAACCTTCCATCCATTGCATCAACCACACCACTCCGCAACCATCAGCTTGGTGTCATCAGCAAACTTGCCAAGGGTGCACTTGATTCTGTCATCAATGTCATTGATAAAGATGTTAAAGAGTACCAGTCCACCTTTTGGACACTCTCATTATATTTGATTTATTAGCTTTGATTCTAATTATATCATATTGTAGTGTATTTTGTGCATTCTGATACCATATTTAGGAAATTTGTTTCTCCTCACATTGTTGCCACTGTTTTAATTATTTTTGTGGTCCCGTTCCCCCTTTCTGGAGACATGGATTCTGAATCCCTCCACTCCACTAGTCACAGAACTGGGCTGAACCAGCCCACAACTGAATTCATCATCACTGCTGGAGATAAGATATCCTGCAATCACAATTTGGTTAACAATTCTGTTGATATGATGATTAGAATAGAGTCTTTGTGTTGCTGGCTATATTTAATTGTCAGCAAAAGAAAGTAGATACACCTTGAAATTCTCATGGAATATATAGGTCTCACAAAATATTATGAGAATGACATCTTGCTTGAACATTGCTAGGAACTATCTGAAACACTTCTGATTAAACCTTTAACCTTATATTATAGAGAATAGGAAATATACAGCGGGCGTACAATTTCAACAGTATTCGATTGGACTTTTTCTCAAATCTATTGTAGCTTCCTCAGTCACATGAATAAAGAAAAATAAGAGTATGAATCAGAAATTTCCATATGAAATGATTACAGTTATCCTTCTTTCAAAAAGGAAATCTAGTTTTTCTACCTCAGTCAAATAAAAGCAGTGTTCAAAAACTGGATGCATACAAATTACTCCTTTAGATCTAATATACTAGAATTTCTAAACTTGATGGCCTTAACTGTGAAATATATATATATTTTTAAACCAAAAGTCTGGTTCTGTAACTTAAGATAAGTTCTGTAGTGGGTTTTTTGTGATGCAGTGTTTTAGTAGATTCAAATACATTTAAAATTATCTAGCTCCTTACGCATGTGGAGGGGAAAAAAAAAAAAAAAAAAGTCACTACCTAATTAAAGAAAGAAAGAGTTACTTACCTGGGCCAAGAATTAGGACTCCAAAGTGCTCCAAAAGGAGTATTTGCCAGGTATAGAACCTTCCCTCATCCCAGACAGCCCTTAAATGAGGCTTAGGGAAGGGTCAAACTTGTTTCCACCCTTCTGGTCGTAGACATGAACTGCTTTCACCTGTGCTTCCAGGGCTGGTTGTGTCCCTTCATCAGGTGCTCAATCATTGGTTCAGGCCATGACTTAGCAATTCCTATATTCCTATCTGCACAGTTTAAATTAAATTTTATTTTACTTGTATATTTAAGCAGTGCTTATTCTGGAATGCATTATATGAGAATTCCATTCCATAGAAAGTGGAAGCATTCAGATTTACTATGTATACTTTGTATATTGCCTGATGTTTCTATATATTGTGTATCAAAGAGCTATATGATGTTGTGGATTGTTATAAAATAATACAATCGTAAGGTTCACATATTGGGAATACAAATTCAAAATACAAGTTTAAACATATAAGTGGTTGTTATAAGCTAAGAAAATCCAGTCTGTAGTACTGCATGTGTATTAGATAATAAAAAGGGAAAATCTATGTTGTATTTTATAAATTTTAGGAAAAAAAAATAATTAAAAAATCTGGAATTTCTTATCTTAAATCAGTGACAAGTTTGAATGAGACGAAAAGACTGATTTAGACTTTGCCAAAATCATGAAATGCTGATTGATCCATTTCATACACTGAATGAATTTGGGTGATTTTAGTAAAAAACTGTTCCATACCTTGAATAAGAATTAGTAGAATTTGCATTTAGTGAGACAATTGTCCTTTCTTGTACTTCTTTGAGCTCCTTGACAAGTGCAGTATCACCTGGGCTTTGGCCTTCTTAACTCCATCTCTACACAGCCTAGCACCATCTGTATACTTCTCCCAAGGTATCTGCCCTCTTCCAGTGTCTATGCATTTTCTTCTTGCTCACCATGCTGTTTGCCTACTTCGTTCGCACCCGTCCTAATGCACTGGTATATAACATCTGATACTTTAAGGATGTTGGGCAGTTGAAAAAGCTACATTGCAGAAATTTTTGACTGATCAGGTGGTTTTTTTATTTTTTAATTTTTTTTAACTGAGATGTCTTTTCTTTTTTCCTCTAAGATCTTTGTGATTTTCCTTTGCTTTAAAATGAATCTTTTTGTCTTTCAGGATAAGATGATTTTATGTTTACTGTACATAAAAATGATTTAAAATAGAAGCTTTCTGAAATGCACAAAATATTTTTTATATCAAATAAATAATTTATTTGTGTTTTTAATGTTTCATCATTCTGATCATAGTGGGATCACCTAAACTATTAATCTTTCTTTTCTCTTTCTGTTCAGTCAGAAATCAGTTCAGTCTTTAAAAGGTCTAGTTGAAGTCCTGAGCAATCTTTTGCTCTTATTATCTCCTCCACTGCCCAGCTTTCTAAAGCTGGGCAGTGTAGACAACCCAGACAAAGTAGACAACCCAGCTACAGATACAAAACAAAACAAAACAAAAGGACGGAAAAGATGGAATAAATATTATTATCCATTTCCTAGATTTTCCTGAATTATAAAATCTAAAAAGGCACATGTTAACACAGCATCTGTTCTGGATATTACTTTGTCACTGTAGTACATCCACATATTCGAGAATAATCATGCATCAGTAAACTTCTATAACAAAGGTAATGTCTTAAGTCTTTTACCTACAGATTTTTTAGAATTCATACTTGCTACAAACAATGTATACATATATATATAAATTCTCTTTGTCCTTGCATATTATTACTGTATTCAATATTTATATATCTTCTATTTGTGCCCATGGCAGTATAGATGCACTGTAGCTTTTCATTTGGAAACAGTGCTGTAAAGCATGATGGGCTGCTCTTACCTCCTGTACCATGGAAGCTATCCTTTCTGTGATGCTGTGTGAAGAACATTAAATAGCATAATGCTGTCTGTAGGATGAGACCTACAAAGAAGGATTTCAGTTAAATAAACTTATTCCCATGAAATCATAGACTATCAGTCTAAATTAAAGAAATGAAAGGACGACATGAAAGATTTCTTTTTCCTGTGGTGATTTTTATTTATATTGTTTTTATGACTTCTATTTTACCACCATCAAGTTTATTTTTTTAAGGTATTCCTCAGTTTATTTGTTAAATTGTTGAACAAGACATCTTGGGAATTAAAGGCATATTTGTAAAAACAGCTGTTTAGAAGGTAGGCTGCATAAACAAGAAGAAATCAAACACTGATGTGTTCTGGACACTGGAGCTTGATTGTCTTGTTCATAAATTGTTGAAACAGTTTTGCCATAGTTATGACCCACAAACTTTCAAACTGTTCTCAGGTGCCATTCAAGTATTTATATGGCCAGGGGCTGCTTCCAAAAGCAATGTGGATGCAGTCACTCCTCTTAGAACACTAAGGGACTACAGAAGAAAAGTATTTAATGCCAAGATAGCCTCAGTGCCTGAGAATAGTCCTGAGCACCTTAAACATGTTAGTGAAAAGGTAGTTTTGCAATCTGTGCCACATGTACAGGGGCAAAGAAGGGAAATCAATATATATAGGGCTTTTTGTTTTCACAGAATATGCAACGTTACAGAAAATCTTTTTTTTTTTAATTTATATTTTACTTGGTGAGTGATAATTATCCCTGAAGACCTTTAGATTTATTGCTTTTTATTTAAAACAACAACAAAATATCTATTTCTCTCACGTACCTGACTGGAAATACCTTCCTGTAATTTTTACATTCCCATCATGGTATAGGGAGTAGAATTAATATGATTGAAGTTATGAATATTTTTTAAAAGGCTTATTTTTCTCTCCTTTCCCCTACCTTTTTTCCTCCTTATTAAATCACCTTTAACTTCCAGGCTGGTAAAGTTATCAAACCCACATCAGCTATCTACATCTTAATCTGAGATATACTTTCCTAGAAGACAAAACAAAGTAAGATAATTAGTTTTCAAAATTATGAATAAAGGATGATGGACTATATTTAACTGTTTATCCAGTTTATGATAGGCTCAGCAAGGGCATAGGTTGGTAAGAGAGTGATTAGGGTTCCCTGAATCTCTGGTTTACCCTTGGCTGCTGGTGAATAAATGATGCTTGTTCATTTGCTGTATCTGCTATGTGTGATGTGGATTGATGTGGCACATTTGATCACCTTTTCTACCTCCAAAAGTAGAAAGTTTCTAGCAGCTCCATCTTCTGCTGGTTTGAAACTTCTGTGGAAAAAGCAATAATGGTAAAGTAAAACTGATACATATAGAATGGATCAATATCTGCAACAAATGCATTTTTTGTACCTACCCGTTGGCTGTTTGATTTCATAGTACAGTGATACTTTTGGTTATAATATTTTCTTTCCGTTCTACACAATATTTTCTTTTGACAGAAATGTGACTGTGAAGCCCAAACAGAGTTTCTCTGCAGACCTTTTGTACTGAAGCCTGGGCAAAGATCTGAGCTCATTTATTTTAAGTTTTGGTCACTGGATGGTATGTTATCCGTTCTATACAGTAAAAAATTTATTTCAGCATCTACAGAGGATGTCTAATTAAAGCTTTTGAGGTAAGCATTTTGAGCAATTCCAATGTTACATTTGATACAAGCAAAGTGGGGGCAAGGATTAATGGATTTGCTGAAGGCTGGTGAATGAGCTAGAGATGAGGTTAGAGTTTACTGCTCTCTCCTGGTTCTCTTGTGCTCTTGGAGAAAAGCAGAAAAATCCTGAGGTGAAGATAGAGAGAGCCCCCACTTATTTAAGGAACTTTGAAGCAAACAGAAATGAAAGCATAAACTACAGTTTTATTCAGAAGAGAACCTGCCATACAAACTTGATTGCTCTCTGTTTTAGTAAGAAATGTAAATCATGAGAACAGCTTTCCTATATTGTGAGAATAAGCTTTTGCATAACTTGAGCCACTATAAACTGAAGGATGGAGGCTTCCATAAATGTAAGCTCAAGAACAGAATGTGGAGGAGGCTGCAGAGCTTGTTGTCAAGTGAAGATAAGAAAGTAGAATAGATGTCCTGCTGTTGATGATAAGATGGTAAAACAGATGCCTCAGCTCAACATAACATCAGTGGGAACCCCCAAAAAAGATGGGAAATTCACAGCAAGAATGCATCCCATGACCACCAGAGATGTTATTTCTGCCCATGTCCTTGGAATGTAATGAATACCTATATGCTATGCCTTTAAATATGTTGCCACTGCTTCTCTCGGGGTGCATGTTTGGTGGGAGCAATCCCCTGTGCACCCAGCGCCGTAAGAAAGGGAACACCTTACTGTCATGTCAAGTTACTTTGTCAGTTTTCTCAGCTTCAAATGATAAAGTTAGTTGAGATTTGCATATATTGATTATGATGGCTAAGTTTTAGTATTGAGAACTTGTTTTTTGCTTTTGATTTCTGAGCACTTGGGGATTTTTGTTCTTGTATGTTTAAATATCTCAGGCATGTAAACAAAATGTATGCGTATGGACATACAATAAAGGTATCTGACCACTTTGTATTCCAGCCAGCAAAGAAATCGATTGCAAAAGCCAGTTTCTAGGAATTGCTGACTCCAGCATCTTTCCACTACTCTTAATCCAGCAATTCTGTTTTACTTTCAGCCCTTAAGACTGAAAAGGTGATATTTTTGCCACTTTCCAGTCTCTTCCTTTTAAAGTGAAGCTTCGGAATTGTTGCCCTAATCTGCATTAGCAGAACTGCACAAAGTACCCAGAAACAAGAAAGAAATTCCATTAATTAATTGAAGATTTTCACCTTGGGTGTAACTAAGGATGAAGAACTGGCCAATAATTCAATGGGTGCAAATTTCACTGCAGGGTGACGCTGATCGAAAAGAGGTGAGGACTTGCTAAATGCATCTTCTACAGTCTTATTTTTAGATACAATGATTCATATTGCTATTGGCTATTATTGCATAGCAATCAATTTGTTAAATATGAAAAAATGCTTAGCTTCTAGATCTTTAAGTTCTTTGTGATCTCCTACCCAGGCAACAGACTCCATATAAAAATTCAACAGTACTGAACAGATAGAAAGAGCCAAATTGAATAATAGAGATGATTCATTCTTCTCTGCACTGAAAGTATAATAGAGGAACCATCTATCATCTTTTCTGTGGAGAAAATTGATGAATTTATTGTAGTTCTTCACAGTCTGTAACATCTCCAACGCTGAAAAAAGCTGATATTTGGTCTTATTTCAATATCTACATGGACCTCAGAAGAATTAAAAATTACATACATTCAAAATTATTTTATTTATAATATCTCATAACAGCACTTACCTTCTGTAGGAATTAAATTCACATCGCTCAAGTGAATACCATGGATGCCTTTCCTATGAAAAATCAAGGCTCAAACTACTGTAGGTCTGAGGATTACTGTAACATCTGAAAGCTCACTCCTTCACAGTAAAGATGAGATAAAATCAAACTACTTGGCTGGTTCTAGTATGATTTTTTCTTTTGTTTTAATTTAAGTAGATAATTTTACATTATTGCTTTTACTACCATGTTTAGTTAAATGCTGAATGAATATTTTCATTTGGCCCAATAACCTTTAAGAATTCATAGGGGAAAGTGGTTATGTGTCTTTTAATACACGAATCAACTAAGCATATCAAAATAATTTTGATTTATTTAAGTATATAATGAAGGGCAGAAAAATGTCAAGATAATTTCATTCTTGGCACAGCTAGTTCAGAGGACTTTCTGAGAATTTTGGCTTGATTTGCCTGTTGATTTCCTGTTGTGACTTTTATTTTACAAAAAAAAATTCTATGCACTTGGGGTTTGCCTCCCAAATCTGTAAAAAATACAACCGCTTTTCCATGCTTTCATTTAACAAATTAAGAGCACATTAATTTCCCCCCATTATTAAGTTAACAGCAAAGCAATTTCCCTTAGTATTGAGGACTCTTTTACAAACTAAAAGAAAAAAAACTAACCTTCTTCCACTCATTAGTTAGTCGTCCCCCCTGAAAAATAAAGCAATGCACACAGGTCAGCACAGTGTAGACATTTATCCTAATTTACTCAGTCCACAGAGTCCTCCTTTTTTTCTTCTTGAAATAAAAGCCCAGGAAATACAATCTCTGTGTTAGTTTTTTTCCTAATCCAGTAAAATGAGCATTGATATCTCTGTTCTGGTCCTTAATTGGCAGTCGCCGCTCCCTTTTCTTTTCTTTCTGAAGCTTGAGAAAGCAGCTGATACAATGGGAGGTACTAATTTCATTGCTGTGTCAGTGAAGTACAAATGAAAGCAACCCTCCCCCCCCCAAAGCAAGCAAAC